CCCATCCATCCTCCATCCACCCATCCATTCATCCACCCACCCACCCATCCATCCACCATCCATCCATCCATATGCTCACCCACCCATCCACCTACCCATCCATTTACCATCCACCCACCCACCCATCCATCCATTAATCTATCCACTCACTCATCCATCCACCATCCATCCTCCATCCACCCATCCATCCATTCTGTTGCTGTTATTTTAAAGGTAAGTAGGTAGATGAGAAAGAAAAAAAAAAAAGAGAGAGAGAAAGAGAAGAGAGCATAGAGACGGCAGGGAATAGTCCCTTTCTGACAGTGATTTCTTACGACAAGCTGGGGAGCTACAGAGACACCAGGCCCTCTGGAGTTCCCTGAATTACTGGGATGATCTTACCCCACTGCCCACCACCCATTGCCCACAGTTTGGAGGTTCTAGGGGTTTGTGGGAAGAGGGGATAGCAGAGTGGGCCAGTGTCAAGACTGTCCCTGCAAGTCCTGAAACTCCAGTCCCAGCCCTGATCCATGTCTCCTTAGGAAGACAGGATTGTGTTGTAAAGGGATGTCACAATGCCCCCCTGGTGCAATGCCTGCGGTGCCTTCACCTTGCCACCAGTCCCTGGGAGTCCCAGGAGCCCCTGACCACCAGACGCTCCAGCTTACCATCAAGGAAGGCCCAGGTCAAGGATGTCCAAGGTGGGGTGACGTCCTAGGGCTGGAGCCAGGCAGCCAGGAAGGAGAATGAAGGCCCCGGCCAGGCCACTTGTGTGGGAGCCAGGCTTCCTACAAAAGGCAGCTGCCAGGGCTACTGCCTGACACAGATTCTCCTCCTAGGGGCTCTGCGTCCCCCTGTGGCACGGGAAGAGGGCCACTGTCCAACTCTTCTCATCCTTCTGCTCCTTCGCTTTCCCAACACACTTCCCATGTCATGTTCTAGGCAAATGTGCCATGGATAATAATAAGGGTTCAGGTCTAGCACAGTAGCATATGCCTATAATCCTAGCTACTGGAGAGGCTGAGACAGGAGGATTGCAAATTTGAGGCCAGCCTGGGCAACTTCAGGAGACACTGTCTTAAAACAAAACAAAACAAAACAAAAAAAGCCTGGGTGTGTCTCAGTGGTGGAGAGCCCTCGGTTCCATCCCTAGTACTACAGAAAACCAAAGCAAAACAGCCAAGGTTTATTCAGTGCTTCGGGAGTCTGGGCGTTTCACCTGGATTAGCGCACAGTAGGCCTCTGATATTCATTCTCTTGTTATTCCCACTTTATCATTGGGAAACTGAGGTACAGAGGATTATAATATGCTCAAAGATCAGGCAGCTCGTGGGGGCTGTGGAATTTGGTCCCGGCAGCTGGCTGTGGGGCCCTGTGCTGTCCAGTCTCAGGAGGCAGTGAGGCCCACATCTGGCCTCCCCATCCATCCTTCAGAGCCCACCACTCGGCTCAGGTTCCCAAGTACCTGCAAGGCCGATCATGACACCTGCACTGTGCTTCCACAGGCCCCCTGCCAGGGCACCCCTGGCCAGCGGGTGGAGCAGATAGCCTTAGCATCCCCATCTTGCCGACAAAGCAAATACAGCTCAAAGAGGTCCAGCAACTTGCCCAAAGTTGTCTGACCCGTGAGGTCAGGGTCGGGCCTGGAGCTCGACTTTCAGACTACAAAGCCTGGCACATTCCACAGCGGCTGTACCCAGGAGGCTTTACCTGTTTCAGCCAAAGCTGGTTGCTATTTGCCTTTCTTTCCTTCCTTCCTTCTTTCCTCCTCCTCCTCCTCTTCTTTTTCTTCTCCTCCTCCTTCTCCTCCTTCTTCCTTTTTCTTTCTGGTATGGGAATTGGACCCAGAGATGCTCTACAACGGAGCCACATCCCCAGCCCTTTTTATTTTTTTATTTGGGGACAGGATCTTATTAAGTTGCCCAGAAGGTGGGATTGTGGCCCTCCCCTTCCCCCTGCGTTTCAACAGGGCTCAAGACCTTCCACCAAAGAATCAGGCACCCATTGTGGATTGTGCCATGCACCTGGCCTGGAGGAGTTGAGAGCGCGGGCTGCTCTCCTAGACCTGCGGTGCTACCATGCGGGAGACCTTGAGGCCCTGCCTGCTGCTCTAGGTCCTGGTAGCAGGACACACCCCCCACCCCCTGGCAGGTGCACATCTAGAAGGCCTTGGGGTCTGCCAGCAGAGGTGGGGGCATGAAGGCAGAGCTCCCTTTGGATTCCTCCGGTGGCTCTGGCTTGAACCCCAAATGAAAACAGGGAGGCGGGGTTCAGAAGGGAGGGAGGAGCAAGCCCCTCTACTTGCCTTTAGCCTTTCTTGCTCCCTACAGAATGGGAGGCCTAGGTGAGAGAAGCAGGTGGGGTGATGGGCGTCTTCTTGAGAGTTCAGAGCCCAGGGTTTCTCAGCCTCCGTTCTAGTGACCTTGTGTGCTGTAAGTTCATGGTCGTGGGACTGCCCTGGGCACAGAAGGATGTGCAGCTGCCGCCCTGGCCTGTACCCACTCGCTGTGTCAACCAAAAATGTCTCTAGAAATTGCCATCTCTTTGAGAACCACTGATCTAAATTCACACACACACTCTCTCTCTCTCTCTCTCTCTCTCACACACACACACACACACACACACACACACAGCCTTTGGCAGGGAGGATGTGAGAGGGAGGAGATTGTTCAATGAAACCAGATGTTAACCTGGAAAGTATGCAGCCAGGCCCCGCCCTCCCTCCACGGTGCCTGGCTGGGCCCTGGAAGGAGCCGGTGTGTTCGGTGTTCTCAGCCGACTGCTGCGTTAGTCATTTGGAGCCTGGCTTGGTCCCTGGAAAGGGCAGGGCAAGGCTAGGGCTCCCTCTTCCTCCTTCCCCTTCCTCCTTCCCTTCTCCCCTCCCTTCTCATTTTTCTCTTCCTTCTCTCTCTTCCTTCTCTGCCAGGACCAGTTTCCCAGTGTCTGCCCAGAACGTCTTGTCCTTGGATGTGCTGGGGGCCCTATATGTTTGCGGTGGTAGTAGCTGCATTTCAGGCAGAGCTGACAGGCAAACCCAGGGCAAGCTGGCCCAAGCCAGGGCCCGTGCTGGGCAGAGAGGGAGGCCAGCGTTGGAATCCTGGGCCGCTCACTAACTAGTCTTGGGGCTTCTGCAAGGAAGTTACCCACAATGTCACAAACTGTGAATGTAGACCAATGCTTAGGAATCTCTGAGCCTCAGTTTCATCATCTGAAACTGCCTGGCACTTGGTAGGTGCTCAGTCTTGTTAGCAAGAGCATCTGCCTTCCCTCTGCATGGTCTTGGGTCAGTTTCCTGCAACCATTTGAAGCACTCTGGCACTGGCTTCCTGGGCAAAGGGTCCAGGTGGCCAAAATGGCCAACTCCCAGGCTGTGACTTTGGAGTATGATGAGAAAAGCAGAACACCCAGGGTACAAACCTGGAGGAGGCCACAGGGCACTTGCACACACGCAGAATGACTGCTTCTTTCTAGTTTGTGGGCCTACACACCCTGGTCCTTCCTGGCTAAAGACACCATCCTGGGAGGAGTGGCAAAGGAGCCACAAGACAGGTGACAGGATGTAGGCAGACTTCAGTGCAGGGAGGGAGTCAAGAAAGCTGCTGGGCCTGGAAGGATAAGAGCAATTTTGAAATGGGTGTGAATAGTCATGGGTCACTTAGCCACAAGGACAGTTCTGAGAAGTACACTGCAGTTTTGTTGTTCAAACATCAAACATGGTGGTGCACTAACCCGAACTAAGATGACTGTGGGTCACTAATCTGGCTGGGTATCTTGACTGTCTGTAAACACAGGTGGGAACCAATAGGAGCAAAAACTGTCTTGGAAGAAAGCCCTGGGCAGGTTTGGGTGGGGGCAAATAGTTTGTAAATTAAATGCCAACGGAGCTGCATCTTGACTCATAGGGATCTCTTTTGTAAGAAGACAGGGGCTCACTTTCCACCAATTAACTCCACAAACTAGTGGTAAGTGTCAGGGGTGCTTCAGCACTGAGCCACATCCCCAGTTCTTTTATTTTTTTTAATTTTGACACAGGGTCTCACTAAGTTGCCTAGGTAGATCCTTGCTAAGTGTCCGGTGCTGGCCTCTAACTTGCAATCCTCCAGCCTCAGCCTCCCGTCACTGGGATTATAGGTTTGCACCACTTAACTCCGCAAACTAAGGGTTCTCTTGCAGTGCCTGGAGGCTGGAGGTCTGTGAGGCTGGGCAGGGAAGAAATGGGTCCCCAACACAGTTGAGAGCTGGAGCAACGGAATCAAGCCAGCCTCCTACACATGGAGGGGGACGGTCACTTATAAGGACCTCGTCCTTTGGGTTGAGGACTGACCCCGTAATAAAATGACTGTCAAGCACTGGGGAGGTGATGTGGCGTTTGAAGGGGGAACAAGACTGCTTGATGACGGGACAGTCAAGAAGGGTGGTGACAGAGGACCAAAGAAATGTCGGGACAATGTGACAAAATGTGACAGTGTGTGGGGGGGTCCTTAGAAAACGGTAGACATCAAAGCATAGTTCATCAAGAAGGGTGGTTAAGGGGCGGTGAGGAGACACACTGGTAACAATGAGAGGTGTTCTAAAATGGAATGAGCCCGAAGCTTGGAAGGTGAGCCGCCCCTCACTAGAATACCCATTTATTGAGCGCTCTCTAAATGCCGTGCCCTGGAGCGAGAGGAGCAGGATTTTGGCAGCTGTTATGTGGAGGGTTAGGAGATGGAAAGATGAACAAGCGAGCTTTCCCTTCGGAGCCCAGGGTATCATGGGTGAGGGCTCCCCTAGGGAAGGGGAGGCAGACATGCAGGCTGGGGGCAGGCTGAGCGCAGGGGTGGGGGTCTGCAATAGGAGATGTGGCCAGGCAACCACAGGGGGCCCAGCATGGCCAGAGCCCAGGCCGGGGAGGGATGGCCAGCTGCAGAGTCAACACCTTGCATTCTGGGCCAGGGGCTTTGGGCTTTATTTTCTTTGAGGAGGAGGGTCCAAGGATTTGGCCATGAACTTTGGATTGAGCAGAAGCACAGGCTGAAGAAGTTGTGGGATGGGTGGGGGTTGGGGGGAAGTTGACAGGAAGCTGCAGTGACCTGGCAGAGGAGGGGCAGGTGCAGCCCTGTTGGGGACTGACTGTGGGGATAGAGGGGAAGCGCTGAGGAGGGCCGCCAAGTTCCCGGCCTCTGTGAGTGGGCAGGTGTCTGATAAAACAGGTGGAGGTCGCAGGAGCAGGGCGTCTGATCAGGGGACCTTGAAAGTTCTCCTGTGGTCTGGAGGAACCTGGGCCGTGCTCCTGGGTGGCTCTGGGGGCTTCCGCACAGTGGCCCGGTCTCCTCCCTCCAGCCCCGTCTGGCCCTAGCAGTCGAGGTCCCAAAGCCCCACTCTCCCTTTCTCTTCTTCTCAGGACTCACAGAAACCAGTGCCCAGAGATGGGCCAAAGACACCATCAGGCAAAAAAGTGAAGGCACCATTCTCACTCTTGTCCCGGAAATGGAAGCGCGACCGCGAGCAGTGTCTGGCAATGGCCTACGTGCCAGTGGTGGTGGCCCCCAGGGGGCAGAAGGTGGACAAGCACAGGTTCAATTTCTACACTTCCCAGTACTCCAATTCCCTGAACCCCTTCTACACCTTGCAGAAGCCGACCTGTGGCTACCTGTACCGCAGGGACACCGACCACACCCGCAAGCGCTTTGACGTGCTTCCTGCCAACCTGGTCTTGTGGTCCCCCTAGGCCTGTGACAGCCAGAAGCCCCTGCCTTGCACCCTCACCCCTGTGACTCTGAGTCCCGGAGGAGAAGGGCTGCTCACTCCTGGAGGAGCCGTGTCTATTTGGGAAAAGCCGGCGGTGACATGTCCCACTGTTGATAATGGAAAGAGAGGCCTCTCAGCATCAATTAAAGCTTGTACTTCCTTTCCCTGGCATCTGAATGGGTGGCTGTGGACTGGTAAACGGAGGCCATGGTGGGTGGTATAGCAAGGTCATGTCCAGAGGGGTCTGAAGACTTGGAAGGACGTATTCTTAGTTCCATGATCCCAAGAGTTACCCCAACCCCTCTATAGAGCCCACCCTGGCCCCACAGCCCCATGGGCCAGGCATGGCAACCCTTCCAGAGATAAGAGAAAATTCACCAGCTGACCCTTGCTTTCATGAGGTGTCTTACCTGAGGATGGAGCAGCCACTGGAGAATGGGAAGAACTGCAGGAAGAACACGCCATCTTTTGGGAGACTCTCCCTGCACCAGTTCTAAATGCAGAGGGTCTCTTTTCCCTTGTAGTTTGCTGGTGAGGGATGAAGCCCCCATCCCAGGTCCTTCCTCTGGTCCAGAAGAGCTGTCCAAGACTAGTTAGGTTCACAGGCCAAGGGGCATGGGAGGGGAGTGGGGGCAGATGGTGCTTGCTCAGAGCAGTGGCCAAGTGAGCCTCCGGTCATGGCCCACCAGGGACACTCCATGGTGTGCTGGGGCCGGCTCACATCGGCCTGTGAAAGCTGGTTGTGTCCATCTCTTCTCAACTCCAATGACCACTGACTTCCTGAAATCATCCATGGCAAGAGGGTTTATGCCAAGGAAATTGGCAAATACCTACAAATTGGAGTTTTTTGGTTTTTTTTTTCCCCAATGAGTGAGTCAACGTTTGCCGGCAGGCCACGGTTTCTTTCCTGGGAATCACATCTCACAGGGCATAGCTATGGCAGGATGTGCAATGGAGCATAATTCTTGCTCACAAGAGGCTGGTCTTGTGGGAGGAAAAGGGACCAGATGCTTTCTAGATCAGGTTGCCCTGTCTCCTTTCTCTGAAAAGAAGATGGTAGGCGGAGAGGAAGGGAGAACCCCTAGAGAGGCTGCCTGACACCCGAGAATCCAAGCATTTGTCTGCTGGCTCAGGCTCGCTTTCAACTTTGAGGCTTTCCCCAAATGCCTGGAAATCTTTGGCTGGAACCAGGCCACTTGGCATCCCCTTTGCCTGGTTGTTGGTGTTTAAGGAGCTAAGCCTGGGAAGGAGCAGGGGTGGTGCCCACAGACCAGGGCTTTTCTGGTCCAAATCTCCAGAATAACCTTCAACCAGGGTCAGGAGGGAATTGACCCCTAGAGATGCCTGTTTTTCTGTCCTACGGGCATCTGGAGAACTTATTTCCCCTTGTGAAACTTTTTTTTCTTTTTTTTTTTTTTTTGTACTGGGGATTGAACCAAGGGGCACTTAACTTAACCACTGAGCCACTTTTTATTTTTTATTTTGAGACAAGGTCTTGCTAAGTTCCTTAGAGCCTTGCTAAATTGCTGAGGCTGACTTTGAATTCATGATCCTCCTGCCTCAGCCTCCCACACATTGGGATTACAGGCGAGGGCCACCATGCCCAGCTCTCTGTCAAACTTTTTGGTCCTATTTTCTACCCCACACATCTGGCATCCCAGCCCTCAGGAGCACCTGGTGCATTCCATCCTGAGCCCCTGAGTCTGCCTAGGGGCAAGTTTACCTCCATCTCCTCCTCTTGGAAGCATTTAGATTTCAACTTTCTTCACCCTGATAAGACGGATACCATTTGCCCAGCTACCTTCTATATCCAACATTTTATTTAGAACCTTTTGTCTGCTGTCTTTTTTATTTCTGGTAACTTTTTTTTCTTTTTAGAAAAATGCATTTATTGCTATCTTAGGATTTTGAGAAGAAGTAGAGATAAATGCGAGTTTTCAGTCTATAAACCTAAAGTCTTATTCACCCAATCAGACATTCTTCCTACAGACACTGAAGTCTCTGTCCTTGAGATGCAAAGATATGACCAAGAATCCTCGCCACCCTTCCAGACTGTGCAACCTGCATGGGGTGTTGGGCAGGGTCCCCAGGAGTCTGCACAGGAGGGTAGAACATCCTTTGCTCTCCTGGAGGATGGCGCCCCCTTGAGGTTCACCTTAGTGGAGCAGCCACTAGGGAAGTCCTTTGAAGAAGCTGGCTTAGGTCCCACCCAGACAAGAGGGTAAATAATCTGGGCTTTGGGCCCTGTTCTATTTCTGTGCAGTGAGAGTGGGTGGATGGGCACCGTGGAGGGGGGATGAGTCAGATCAGAGATGGCTGCCCCTCCTCCTGTCCCTTCCTGGACTGGCAACTGCCCCACCCACTTCCTCCCTCTCCTCAGTTCTATTCATCCTGGAGGATTCCCCTACTCTGGTATGAGGTATGACACGTCTGTCCTTGGAGAGATTCCTGCAGGTGATGCAACCAGGGGAAGCCACTGGATCCCCTCCCTGGGTCAACTGTGCAATCCATACACTCCAGCCAGCCACCCCCTCAGGGCCACCTGGTGCACACCTCTTTCCGAGGCCTTGGTATAGTCCTGTCCTCTCCGACTTGCATCTATGTCCCAAGGGATCCCATTCCCCAGGCCTCCCACCCACAGGCATGAGCTCTCTTGTCAATGGACTGGTTAGATGAACAGGCTGAAGCACAGGCCACTCGCATGAGGGCACTAAGAACAGAGGAGTGAGGCAGTGGCGGTGTCCCCAGAGAGCAGCACCGAGGGCCATCCTCCGTGCCTAACAGGGAAAGGGGACAGGGCTGGTAGCGCAGGAGCCCGGGAGACGTGGCTGAAGGCAGAAGAAAGCCACCACTGCTCAGACGGTGACTCGGAAGCCAGAGAGAGACACTGGACACCAGTGCATCTCAGTGGATGACCCCAGGCTGAGCCAGGGTGCTGTTGTCCACAGATGCCGGACGCCTGTGGCTCAGGGCTGGCCCAGAACAGTGGAGACAGAGTGGGGGGGTAAACAGAACTACCCAGCCCCGACCGTGTGGACTAGGAGGTGTCGGGTGCCGGGAGGACGCAGGTGAATGAGGCAGTGGTGTCTGCTCTCTGGGAGCCTCTGGGCTCCTGAAGGTAGGACAGCAAGGGGGAGCCGCTCAGAATCCCAGAAAGAAATGAATGTTTTGTGTCTTTGTGAAGAGTGAAGGTGATCAGAGTCTGTGGTGGCCCCCCACGGTTCCTGCCATGGTCCAGTCCCCTCCCTTGGAGTGTAGGTGAGGCCTGGGACTTGCTTCTAACCCACAGCATGTGGCAGAGGACTGGACAGGCTGACCCTTGAGTAGGTGGCCTCCTATGAGACTCCACAGCAGATAGTAGGAGTCTTTTTTTTTTTTTCATATTTTATTAGTCGTTGGTGGACCTTTATTTCTTTGTGGTGCTGAGAATGGAACCCAATGCCTCACACATGCCAGGCAAACGCTCTGCCACTGAGCCCCAGCCCCCAGCCCCTCGTAGGAGTCTTGATGAGACAGGCAGGCACGCCTAGGAGGCCCAGGGAACCAGAACCGCAGGTGGCCTCGGAAGTCACAGCCTGTAGACCTGAGCACATCCAGCAAGAAACCAGGGCCCTCGGTCGGTCCCACGGCCCAGGAAGGGAATCTGCCAACAGCTGGAGTCAGCCAGAAGTGGGCTCTTCCTAGGCTGCGGGTCTGCATGAAGACACAGCCCAGGTGGCCCCCTGAGGACAGCCAGGTGAGCCTCTGGGCCACGGGAACTGGAAGAGAATAAAGGTGTGTGGTTCTGAGCTGCTGTCCTTGGTGATCTGTTACTCAGCACTGAAAACTGACGCAAAACCTTGGCTGTGCGCAGGCGAGCTCCTGCCGCGGCTTGGGAAGGCCTGTGGAGGGTGGCGTTGGTACCTGAAGGGGAGGTGGACCGCAGCGGGCAGAGCTGGCCAGGAGCTGCTGCCTCCTCCCCACCTGCCACGGCCAACGTTTGGGCCCCAGAGGACACCACAGGGAGCAGGTCTGGCTGGGCCCCCAAGCAAGCTGTCTGGAGGGCCCTCCCCACCCAGGTCTGGGGTGTGTTCAAAGTCGGGGTGTCTGCCCCGCGCACCCCACGTCCTTCCTTTAGTAGAGGTAAAACAGCCCTGTTTGGATTCTTCAAAAATATCCATCCTCCTTGATTATGTGGATGACATAGGATCATTATGAACCATGAAAGGATGAGGACAACATTTTTAAAATATATTTTTAGTTGTCGATAGACTATTTTATTTATTTATATGTGGTGCTGAGGATCAACCCAGGGCCTCCCATGCACTAGTCAAGTGCTCTACCACTGAGCTACAACTCCAGCCCCAGGATGCAAACAATTTTTTTTTTAAAAAAACAATGGATCTTTTTTTTTTTTTTTGAGAGAGAGAGAGAGAGAGAGGGAACTTTTTAATATTTATTTTTTAGTTTTCGGCAGACACAACATCTTTGTTGGTATGAGGATTGAACCTGGGCCGCACGCATGCCAGGCGAGCGCACTACCGCTTGAGCCACATCCCCAGCCCTGCAAACAATTTTTTAAAAAATATTTTTTAGTTGTAGTTGGACACAATACCTTTATTTAATTTATTTATTTTTTACGTGGTGCTGAGGATCCAACCCAGTGTCCCATACATGTGAGGCAAGCCCTCTGCTACTGAGCCGCAACCCCAGCCCCAGACAATTTTTTTTTTTTAAAACAAAGATTTAAAAAGTCACCGGTGGGCTGCGGACATGGCTCAGTGGTAGAGCACTGGCCTAGCATGTGTGAGGCCCTGAGACCCATTCTCACATATGAATAAATGAATAAAATTTAAAGGTCTATCAACATAAAAAAAAATTTAAAAGTCACTGGTGACCCTCTGCCCAGAGACCATCCCTGGGAGCCCTGTGGTGGTTGCCTGCAGTCACAGATCCTTTGGCAGGGACAGCCCTGTGAACATGGGCCTCATTTCCACCTTTCTCTCTGGTCTTCTAAGCAGCATCCTAAACTTTGAGCCCTTTGGATCCATTTGCTCAGATAATGGGCAAAAAGAGTTGTGGGTTGGAGAGGAGAGAGAGCTCTCAGGGGGTTTACGATGGAAAAGATGAAAACCGACCAGGAAGAAAGCCCGGCTCCGAGAAGGCGGTGGGAGCACAGAGCCCCCCCCACACACACCCCAGTTATATTTGGCAGGTGCCAGAGGAGCACGTGCTCTGCCTGGGCTCTGGATCCCAGGGAGCTCTTCGTCAAGGCAGGAGGGCCCTCTCTGGGCAACCAGGGACCTGCTTCTGGTTGCTCTTATGTGTCCTGAGTTGTTGACAGAGGGTGTCCACCCAGAGAGGGACCCCCGAGGCTGGGGGAACCCCCATCCGTCAGCGCTCCTCCCGCAGCCCAGGCCTTGGCCACTGTCCACGCATGCAGGGCCACCCCTCCTGGCTGGAAGGCTGTGGCTGTACTTCCTTGACAGGGCTGGACCATCCCTGTGAGCTGACTGTCTCTAGGCCCTGGCCACCTGTCTGTCCAGTTCTCAGGGACTCTCTGAGGATCAATAGCCTGGCCATCTCTACTCTAACCTTCATAAGAACCACCATCTTCCTGGTGCCTCCATCCATAGAGTTGGAGTTTTTTGTTAAAGAGGGGGCTGTTTTTCAATAAAATGGGGAGAGGCTATGAATATTTCTACGGGCTCAGCAGCTCAACAAGGATGAATGACATCTCTGGTTTTCTTGGCTTTTCCTTGTGTCTGTAACCTCAAGATCACAAGATTGCTGCTGCGTTCCAGGCATCAGGACCATACCCAAGGCCAAGCTGCATGTTTCATCACTTTTTTTTTTTTTCAAGAAAGCAAAGCTTTCCCAAAACCCACAGCAGGCTTTAACTTAAATCTCTTTGGCCAGAACCATGTTATATGGCCACTCCTAGCTGCAAGAGAGACTAGCAAAACAATTTCTTGGTTTTCACCCTTTTTAGTAGGGGCAGATGAGTGGGTGGGAGTTGGAAATGGGGTGGGGTCTAGGAAGGCTTTTTTACTTTTTAATATTTTTTTAGTTGTTCATGGACCTTTATTTTTTATTTATTTGGTTTTTTTTTTTAATTTTTTTGAGAGAGAAAGAGAGAGAGAATTTTTTTAGTATTTATTTTTCAGCGGACACAACATCTTTGTTTGTATGTGGTGCTGAGGATCGAACCCAGGCCGTACACATGCCAGGTGAGCGCGCTACCGCTTGAGCCACATCCCCAGCCCAATATCAACTCACTTAACCCTCCTAAGAGCCCTATGAAACGGCACCATTGTCCTCTTTTTAAGGAAGTTAACTAAAGCCCAGAGAGTTTAAGCCACTTGCTTGAGTTCACCCAGCCGTAATATAAGCAAGGAATAAACTGGAGTTGCTTTAATCCTCAGAGATTTTCGAGGGTTTGCAATAAAACCTAGCCCATTCTGAGATATACAGGTAGGTACTCTGATATCTGATATGTTGGCGTCCTAAAGATTGAATGTTATAGACCTTTATTTATATGCAATGGAATATTTTTTATATGCAGTATATATTTGGGTTGTACAATTTACATGAATGTAAGTGCCTTTGTATTACACAGACATATATATGAAACTCTTCCTTACTCTGCATTCTCTGAAGAAAAAGACCTTTGCAGCCAGGAGTAAAGAATCCTCTCTTCCTACAGAATGGGAAGAAATCTTTACCACACCCACCTCATATAGAGCACTGATCTCCAGGATATGTAAACAACTCAAAAAAAACAAAAAAAAAAAAAAAAAAAAAAAAAAAACAACCAAATAACCCGATCAGTAAATGGGCTAAGGAACTGACTTCACAGAAGAAATACAATAGATCAGTGAATGTATGAAAAAATGTTCATCATCTTTAGTAATTAGAGAAATACAAACTAAAACTACTCTAAGATTTCATGTCACTCCAGTCAGAAAGACAATTATCGAGAATAAATGTTGGCAAGGATATGGTTATCTCCCCCACAATCCTATGGTATGTATCATACCATACACTGCTGGTGGGACTGCAAATTGGTACAACCACTATGGAAAGTAGTATTGGAGATTTCTCAGAAAATTTAGAATGGATCCAACTCCTCCATTTATACCCAAAGGACTTAAAATCAACATACTACAGGGACACGGCCATGTCAATGTTTATAGCAGCTCAATTCACAATAGCTAAGCTATAGAACCAACCTGGATGCCCTTCAACAGATGAATGGATAAGGAAAATGTGGCGTATATACACCATGGAATATTACTCAGCCTTAAAGAAGAATGGAATTATGGCATTTGCAGGTAAATGGATGGAACTAGAGAATATTATGCTAAGTGAAATAAGCCAATCCCCCAAACCCAAAAGCCGAATGTTTTCTCTGATAAGCGGATGCTGATACATAGCGGGACCAGAAGATAGGGAAGAATAAAGGAAATTTGGTTTGAGTAGAGGAGAGTGAGGGGAGGGGTGGGACTGTGGGGATGGGAAGGAAGGTAGAATGAGACAGATATTAAATACATGTATGATTTCACTACTGGAGTGACTCTGCTCCATCTACACTCAGAGGAATGAGAAGTTGTGCTCCATTTGTGTACAACACATCAAAATGCATTCTACTGTAAAATAAAAAAATTAATTGCCTCAGGTTAAAAAAAAATCCCTTCCTGCAGCCTTGCAGTCTGGGAGGGACCAGGCATGCTGCTGGGGTTCTTGGGAAGGGCTCAGCAAGCCTGGTGTTGCTAGAAAGACAACATTTTGTGCTGTATTGGAAACTGCACTGTCTTGGTATTAGTCAGAATGGGTTTAGGTTAGCTGCAGTAACAAACTGCCCCCAGAGGGGGAATGTAAAGGAGGGAGGGAAATGAGGGGAAGAGACAGGGTGAGCTGTGGCTCTGGGCTTTCCTGGAGGCGTCCCACTTAAGTGCACTTGAATGTTGGTTCCAGAAATGAAGCCATGGAAAGCCTGTGGTGGGAGAAGGGGTGTGGCAGAAGCACCAGAGGAAGCTACTGCACCGTGATCAGCCCTGAGCTTGCTCTGGAGCATTCCAAGACCACCAGCTAGCACTCCCAGGGTCACCCCGGGAACCGGCACCCAGGGCACGTCCCCCACTCACATGCCCCTGGTAGGCGATAGTGCCCTCTTTCAAGTAGGATGGAGGAGGGGAAGGATGTAACCTCCAGGAATATGAGTGTGGTCAGAATACGACGTGTGGGCCTGCGTGTGTGTGTGTGTGTGTGTGTGTGTGTGTGTGTGTACCGTTCAGGTTAACATAGAAGGGGGTTCCTTTTGGCTACTGAGGGTACATCTCAGAAGCCCACAGACTCTGCATCACCCAGGTGGTCTCATGTATTAGCACATCCGTGGTGTGATCAGACCTCCTCTGCTGTGACAGCCAAGGGCAGTCCACAGCCTGGATAACTGTCCATGGCAGCCCATCGAGGGCCCTTCGTTAGCCTTGCTTTGGAAGATAAGATGAACCGGTCCATCTTATGTGGATGCCAGTTCCTTGTCTGAGGATGGGATCCAAGGACAGTGTGAACCCATTAAAGCAGAATATGAAGGGCACTGAGGTCGTAGAATCAGAGCAGCCACTGACCGGTCACCCACTGGATCGTGAGAAGAGAGGATTAGGAGACTGCAAACTAGGTAAGAAAATCCTCTCACCTACAGCTCAAGGCTGTAATCCTGGGCCTCTGCTTCTCTAAGCTTTGTTCTGTTTCCACTCCTCCTCCTCATAGGCTGCAAGGGTTTGTGGGGGATGTCCCCTCGCTCTGGGCGCAGGCCGTGCCCATTTCCTCTCTGCTCCCTCCTCTCCACGTCTCTTGCTCTGACCTGGAGCACTCAGGCCTGTGAGGCAGGAGGGCCAGCTGCAGGAGGCCAGGCCTCTCGGGTGCAGGGGTAGCGGGGCACAGGACCACCTTGGGCATCGGCCTTCTGCAGGCAGGGGCCATGGGCAACGTGGTGGAGGGTAAGTCTGTGGAGGAGCTGAGCAGCACCGAGTGCCACCAGTGGTATAAGAAGTTCATGACCGAGTGTCCCTCTGGCCAGCTCACCCTCTACGAGTTCCGCCAGTTCTTCGGCCTCAAGAACCTGAGCCCCTGGGCCAGCAAGTACGTGGAGCAGATGTTCGAGACCTTTGACTTCAACAAGGTGAGGTCCCCAGCCTTCCCTACCTCTGGAGGCCTTAGCAATCTGGGGGCAACTAAGAGCAATGGGAGGAGAGTAAAAGTGACCCCTGGGAGAGTGACTTCGTAGGCAGTGGTTGTGATTTGGGAGGAGGACATTTCACATCCAAGGGGGGTCAAGCACCTACTTTGTGGTTCATGTTTGCAGTACTAGGGAGGAAGTTCAGTACTCTACCACATCCCCAGCCCTCTTTAGCTTTTATTTTGAGACAAGGTCTCACTAAAGTTGCTGAGGCTGGCCTCCAACTTGGGATCCTCCTGTCTCAGCCTCCTGCGTTGCTGGGATGACAGGCGTGCATCATCACATCTATCTAAGCAGCTACTTTGTATCAGGTCCTAAGGGCCCAGAAATGAATGAGACCCTGTCCCTGCCCTTGCTTTCTAGAAGGAAGACAGAGAGGCCCACAAATTAGCCAAATCAGAGGCAGAATCTAGTGGCTTTCTCTGCCTCTTCAGCACACTGAACAGCTCGGTTGCTGCCCAAAGAGGGATGAACACTTCCAAGGGAGTCGCTGAGCACCCATTTGGGACTGGTGCAAAGACGCCTAGATGCTCAGGAGGATGTGGGAAGAGTGACAGCAGAGGGCAGGATGGGCTGGGCTGGGCAGATCCACCCTACCCGGCTCACCCATGGTGTTCTGTGGACACTAGGCCTGGCAGTGGGCGGGGTGGCCTGATCACTGGGGACAAAGTCATATCCAGCCCCAAAGTACCCAGTGACATCGGCCCATCTTTTCTGAAGTGAGTCCGAAGGTCCAAGTGGTGGTCACACTGCAGGTCTCTCTAAGCCACGGCTGGATGCTCTGGTGAGGACTTCCCCCGAAGCCCAGGGGGCCAGGGAGAGGGAGCCGGAGGCTCTGGGTTTCGTCCACTGGGTGACCTGGAGCCAGTCTCTCCCTTCTTGGCTCATTCACCGGGATCTGCCATGGAGGGTGGGGACATTGGTGAAGGTGTTGGTTGGATTCCGGTAGTAAATCTTCTTTTATTTGGGACAATTGGGTCAGGTGCAGTGGTGGGAGCATCCAAACCCACAGATTCGGTACCTACCCTGCGGGCCCCCTCTGCTGACTCCCACCCTGGCCGGCTCCTCCCTTGAAAGGTGAGGTTGCCGTGATGCATGGCCCCGGGGCTCCATCAACAGGCCTGGGAGAGGCTGCCCTTGCTGCCTGGGGGGTTCAAACGGGTTTCTAGGGAAAGCTGGGGCTTGGCAGCTATTTAAAACTCACTAATAGGTGGGGATAAGGGGCCAAAGCAGATTAGGGGCTTTGAGACTCCGCCTCCAGGGCAGTATCCTGTGCCTGCGTGGTTTTCCTGATGGGGAGCAGGGAGCAGAGTCCTGGGTGGTGGCACAGAGACTAGGAGAGACACAGGCATCATGCTGGCCCCACGGAGTGCCCCAGAGGGAGCAGCAGTCAGTCCTGAACAGGAGAGGCGGGGCGGGGAGTCAGAGGTTGAGCTCCACCACCCTACCCCTGCGCACCCCAAATTATCTCATCCTGTCACCTGCTAAGGAAACCCTCTGGGTGAAGACAGAACTGCAGAAAGACTCCCCAACTCATACAGACGGCATCAGGGAGGGACAACCCGTCACCCTGGATTTATCCGTCAGTCTAATGCCTCCTCTTCAAGTGTGGTCACATACAAGTGCCATCCCTATTGTCCCATCGAAAGTCAATCAACTTCTGGTTTCTACCCAGTCTGGCCTGTTCAGATGCCACACACATGGCCTTTGTGTGGCTGTGACCCTCTAGAACCCTGCTTAGCTCACAACTTTCTCTGCTGTGAGTCTCTGCTCAACATGTGCCCTGACCTCCTGGTTTAAACCTAATTAAAACGGGATCTGGCCAGGCCACACTTATAATCCCAGCCGCTCAGGAGGCTGAGGCAGGAGGATCGAGAGTTCAAAGCCACTCTCAGCTACAGTGAGGCACTAAGCAACTCAGTGAGACCCTGTCTCTAAATAAAATACAAAATAGGGCTGGGGATGTGGCTCAGTGGTCAAGTGCCCCTGAGTTCAATCCCCCGCACCCACCCCCCAAAAAAAGAGAATAACTGGATCTGGCCCCTGCTTCCATATTTCCCAGTCTCCACCTTCCTGCCAAAGCTCTTCTCATCTTTTAGTACCAGACATTAAATACCGTTTAGCCACTATGGTATTATCTGTCTCTCCTGCTGGAGCGTGAACTCTATTTACCCCTTTTCTTCTTTCCCAGCACCTAAGACACTATCTGGAACACAGTAGGTGCTTCATAAATATTGGTTGCATGTTTAAAATTATATACAAAAATCATGATTTTATGGGTTACTTATATACCTTATGACATTAGTTTAACTGTGCTATTATTTTGTAACACCAACATCTCTCCTCCACACCCACAGAACAAATTCCTGGGCTATACTGTGTTGACTCGTGGGCATCAGCAGGGTGCCGTTTAGACTGACCAGGAAGTGAGACAGGGCACTAGGAACTATTCATGCAGAGAGGAGTTAAAACACGGATGTTTAATAGATAACCTGAGGGCCTGTTTTTGTAAATGAAGTTTTATTAGAACACTGCACACTCATTTATTTAAGAATGATGGCCGTCTTCACGCCAAAATGACAGAGGCTGTTTGGCCACAAAGCTGAAATATCAACTCCCTGTCCCTTGACAGAAATAGTGTGTCAGTCCCTGGATGAGAAGATGGCCGTACCCCAGGGCATCGCACCTGATGCGTAGGGATGAGGGGTGCAGCGCTGTGAATGCAGCAGGTGACTGGGGACAAGCATATGCCTTGCTTATTGCACATCTTGCCTGGCCCCGGCTGTGCCTGGCGACCACACAGGTGCACGCAGATGGAGGTGAACACATCTGAGCACCAGTGTAGGATTTAGGAGACTCAAGGCGTTGCCATTCCATCAGCTGATGGCTCTTGACTTCATCTTCTCATCTGAAATGGGGACAAAAATTCCCAGCTCCAGGAGCACCTGTGAGATTAAATGAGCAAAGGAATAAAGCGCTGAGCACAGGAAGCCCACAGGAAGCACTAAAATAAAGAGCATTGCTGTGCTGTTAGCGCACTCAGGCCATCCCACAACCTCAAAAGCACATGTTGTCATTCTCCTCTTAGGGCTGAGGAAACAGACTCAAGGAGGCCAGGCAGCCTGGGAAAGCTCACCCTTCTACTAAGAGGTGGCTTAGGTCTCTTTGGCACAAAAATCATGCATCTTCCATTATCCCTGGTAGCCATCATCATCATCATCATCATCATCATCATCATCATCATCATCATCATCGGCAGGACTGGGGATTGAACCCAGGGGAGTCCTGCCACTGGGCTCCATTCCCAGCTCTTCTTATTTTACTTTCAGACCCAGTCTCACTAAGTTGCCCAGACTGGCCTTGAACTTGCCATCCTCCTGCCTCAGCCTCTCAAATTGCAGGGATTACAGGCTCGGGCCGCCATGCCAGGCTCATTATTATTATTTTTAACTACAAAAGTAATTAAAGTAATTAAAGCTCATTGTAAAAATTCCCAGCAATACAGAAACTTAAACATTGAAAGCTAAAATATCCTCCCCCATGGGAAAAAAAGTTTTCTTGCTGATCCAAGATGGTGTCGCAGGGACCTCGCTCCGTTCTGACAACAACCCTGGGAGTGTGGGTGAGCAGTCTGAGTCAGCCTCAGGCGTGTGTGAAAGCCCTTCAAGTGCCTTAAGGAAAAGTGAAATTATCTGTAGGAACACGGCTGGAACGTGAGAACGTTATGTTAAGCTTAAGTGAGCCAAACTCAGGAGGTCAAGGGTCATATGTTTTCTCCCACATGTGAAAGCAAGAGAGGAAGAAGAGCAAGAAAGGTGGCAGGTGTGTGTGGGGGGTATCTCATGAAAATGGAAGGGAGATCAGCAGAACAGAGAAAAGAGACCAGGGGAGGGGAGGGAAGGGAGAGCGGACAGCCTGGGGAAGGTATTGGCTACCTCTCATTGTTAGGCCGAGTGCACATACAGACATGGAACAATGAATCCCACCATTACGTATGACTATAAGGCACCCAGGGAAAAAGTGGGGGGGAAAAGAAAGTCCTTGGACATGGTGAGGAACCACGGAGATGTTCACTACAACCCTGATCCGCGTGGCGGGCTCCGAGTGAGGAAGGGAGTGGCCAAAGGCCAGCACAGACCCCATCTCAGAGGTCATCAGTCCTGGCTCTCCACCTCCCTGTCAGACTCCCCTTAAAGGCTTTCAGTGACAATGGCACCAGGTGGCCCTTCCTGAGGCAGCTCTGTCAAGGGTTCTTTTTTTTTTTTTTTTCAATTTTTT